AATTATGCATAAAAATATCTGCATGAAACAGAAACAGCAGACGAGCTGAACGAGACGCAGATTCACCCTCTGCCAGCAGGTGGCGCTTAAAGTGTTTCCTTGGTTACCGCTGTCTCAACCGATTTGAATCGTCACATCACATTTTCAACCGGCTCGCGGTTAATCGTTACATCCCTAAACGTAACGCATTGCTTTTTATAAAAAGTAACTAAGTAATGCAAGTAGTTACTTTTTTAGGGAGTAACTCGATACTGTAATGCATTACTTCTACAAGTAGCGTTCCCCAGCACTGCATGTAACACACGATGTTGTGTTTCTCAGCGGCGTCCTCTGGCTCCTACAGCTTGAGCAGGGTTCTGCCGGCCGTGCCGGACATGACGCAGTTCAAGAGCGGCGTTCGCTCGGTGGCCGGGAGGCTGTCGGTCATGGCCAGCGGAGTCGTGTCCACCATACAGGTCAGTCCCTGCGCTAACTAACCCATAACTAACCCGTTCATCTGTGTGGATGAGCTCTGGACGCTGTGTTTCTTCCCTGCAGGATCGCTACAGCACATGAGTCCTGAAGAGTCCGCTTCCTTCGCTCGCCTCGGTGTATATTCATCTTTTACTCGGGCAGCATTCGTGGGTGTGTTTAATGCCGCAGCTTGAGTTTGGACTGAAACGAGTCGTGGTTTGATCACTTGGGGACCAAAACTCTTGTTTATTGGAAACGTTTGCACTCGTTGCTCAGATTGCACTTTACTTCAGCTGTGTGTCCTACAGGTGTGTTTGTTTACGGTCATGAAGAAAGAGGAGATCTTCACACGCTCGTGTGATGCTGTTCTCGTAGAAGAGCTGTATATGATGTGTATGTGTAATGTAGCATTGCAGATGTGATGAAGATGAGCGGCTCGTTTCGCACACTGCAAACCTGACCGTCATTCACCTGAAGCCTTATTCACCTCAATGCCTTATCTATGTTTGTTTATGGTATCTGTTTATCTTGCTTCGTCCTTTATGAACATGAGGGGTCATTAAACGCGGTGGGTGATTTGTGGTAAATTGGTTTAACTCAATAAAGATCAGACTTGATGAGAAACCGAGTGTTTTGTTCGCTTAATAGCTATAATCTGTCATAATGCAAAAAAGAGACCATAAGAATTGTTGTAAATTTCAATCTCGCTGTAAACAAAGCAGCGCTGCGCTTATGAACAGCAATGATACGGTGTTTCCTTGGTTACCGCTGTAAACAAAGCAGCAAATCTCAGAGTGCTGTTTGACTCATTACCGATAATTGTGTACCAGAAACTATAATCGTTTAAATCTTTTACTTATAATCATTAATTCCTGATACACGTATGTAAATAATCTCCAGAAAATAGTTTTTTTATAATCCCCATCTAAAAACCACACGCAGCTGTGATTGGTCAGTTCTGACCAGCGCTGAGAAAAGTAACGGGTATCACGTGACAACGCTGCCTATGTGCCGTTTCAGCAAAACGTATTTGTAGCGAAACAGTTACACTCATTAGCTTTAATAGACACCGAAATAAGCATAAACAGTAGAGAGTTAAAACAGCGTAATTATTATTTGGACTCGCCTAAGCCCCGCCCACTCTGTTACGTCAGTCCGCGCCTCTGCTCTGATTGGCTTTCGGCGGAACGGCTGCGTGGCGGTTTCAGCCTCTGACGAGAGAAAAGCAGTTATTCTTCTCTAGACGGAGTTTCAGTCATGAAGCAGCGACAGAAGAGTGCACAGCAGCAGCAGAGCGGAGAGAAGCGGAGGACCGAGGAAGAGGAGAAGAGGTCCTCTCGCTTCAGGCCTGATGGGAAGCTCTGCGGCGCTCTGATGTGTGTCTCGGTCTCGGTCTTCATCACATGGTGAGTGAGTGAGTGTCAGACGCGCTCAAATTCCACCGCAAACCCGCACTCTGCGCTTTAAAGTCTGCTCTCGGCTGTGCTCCGCAGGCTGCACGTCCAGCAGGAGGCGAAGCTCGCAGCAATCGCCGAGAAATACGAGCGTTTGTGTGAGAAGAGCCGCAGCGTGCTGGAGCTGGAGGAGAAAATGGCTGAAGTCTCTCAAAAGGTTTGTAAACCACTCAAATCAGGCCCGTTCACAGCAAGCACGATAACTATAGAGATAACGATAAAGATATCGTTCTGAGTATTAAAGAACGGCAGAGTCCACACCACAGCTATAACGATAAAGACGCAGAGAAACGATATCGTTTGAATCTTTCAGAGCGATTTTCTCCAGCTGATGAATGATACAAACATTGACAGCCAATCAGAATCCATCCTGCTGTCACGAGCTGGAGAATTTAAAGCGACAGACACGCATGCGCTGAGAATAAACAGACGGTATCGCTAATATCGTTATAGTTATCGGTGTGAACGGGGCTTAATAGCTGTGTTTGCACCCTTACGCAAATTAACCATGGGTTTATTGTAGTAAAAGCATAGTAACCATGCTTTGTTTTTTTGGCATATTGATTAGCATTTGCATAGTTTCACAACAAATGCCATGGTTATAGTATGGTTAGTGCAGCAAAACCACGGTTAATTTCTGGTTACCATTGTTTACCAAGCTGAAATACATATATATATATATATCTTTTTTACAGTCTTCAGACACTTTAAACCACTTTTTACTGTAAGCCCCACAAAAATAAAACCACTTTTTATTGAGAAATTGACATGTTCATCATAAGCAACGTGTATTTTGTGTCTTGTTCAATCAACCATCCACCAATCGACGGATCAAAATCATGCCCACCCTCTTTTTTTACATTTAATACGCATTTCACGCAGATACGTCACAATACGATAGTAAACTAATTTCTGTTCCGCTTAATAACTTCAGACCAAAAATCACTGAGCATCATGTTTGATTCATTCTAATGTAGTTTGAGAGAATGATTCTGAAGTCCTCTTGACTTCTTGAACATCTCGAGCAGAAACACGTCCATCTTCACTAGAAATAGATAAAAACAGTTGTGCTGCACAATATTTCTGTGTCAAAAGCCACTCAAAAAACCCCGCTATCTCACCCGAATTAAAGGGGATTTAGTCTGAATAAAATGCTAGTAGCGGGATTGTAAAATGAATAGATGTGATTATGATCATTTGATAAAATGAAGAGAGCGCGCCGTACGTTTGAGATCATTTTACTTTGCTGACTGTTTCCTATCCCGACACGGAGACCGCTGAACGCGCCTCTTTAAATGGTTTCGTGGAGCTCGTTATTGTATTTTAAAACACTATTGCAATGTTTTCAACAGACATTATGGCATTTAAAATAAAATGATCCCAAACGTAACTGGCTGCGCCGCTTGAAACACCTCAGAATTATATTTTAGTCTGGGACTAGGCTTAAGCCTTGTCTGTGAAACCGGGGGATAATGTATTATAACTGTGGTTACAATTATTCATGAGATCATACAATGCATTATAAGGTGCATTACAAGGCATAATTCATGCATTAAAACTACTTTTATAACGCATTATTTATAAAGTGCTACCGAGAAAGTGTTATCTTTACATTACAAAATTCAAATTATCTCAAACTTTAGAAAATCAAAATCTTAAAATAAAATGGAAAAGAATTCATGATAACCGGATGTTATTTACTGAACGAGATCAGCGTAGTGTGCTAATGCTTGAAGGTTGATGGTTGCATGCTGTTTCACTGGCTGTTTTGATGCAGCAGTAGTGCACTAGTACTGAAGTGTGAACGCAGGCAGATCAGATCAGTCTCCGCTGATGTGGTGTGTTGTGAATGCAGCTGCAGGCCTCTTCTGCGCTGAAACACGCCGTCAGCTCCACACTCAACACCTCGGCCGCGCTGCAGGCGAAGCAGCAGGCGTCTTCACTCCTCCTTCACACACTAGAGGAGCGTGTCATCGGCGCGACGGAGGCGCGGGGGAGAGCTGTGAGCGAGGAGCTGGAGGAGCTGAAGAGGCGCTCGCGAGCCGCACACTCACACGTGACGGAGCAGGTGAACGCGGCCGAGGCGCTCCTGCGTGAGCTGAGTGAGCGGCTGCAGGAGGTGCAGGACGGGACGGGGAGGAACGCGCGGGCGCTGGAGCGCAGCGAGGAGGAGGACGCGGGACGCGTGAGCGATCAGCTGCACTGGAGCGAGCGCAGAGTCTCACGGCTCCAGGAGCAGCTGCAGCGTCTGGAGGAGCAGCGGCTCGAGCTCCGGCAGCGGCTGGACACCCGCGCTCCTCAGCACACGCACCTCCCCGCCGCAGAGGAGGCCGTGCGCTCCATGCTCAGGGTGCGCGCGCAGCTCAGCGCCATCTACAGGAGGCTGGAGGAGCTGCGGCTGCAGGTGCGGAGCGCCGAGGGGCGGCTGAGGAGGACACCACACCACAGCTGAACTCTGATCTGACCGAGTCCAGACGCACCACACTCATGTGTCCCATCTACTGTACTTTAGACAAGCTCCATTACTTTGACAAGGCCAAATATTACTCCGTGACAAGTGCAAGTTGTAAAGACAGATTTTTACTTAAGTAAAAGTACAGAAGTACTTGCTTTTAAAAGTACTTGAATACTACATTTCCCTTTTTATGTCAACGCAGTATTTTTTGTTATTATTTATTATTAACTTTACAACAGCAACACTGCTTTAACAAAACCGCGAGACGCCTGACCAGACGCTCAGCTGGACTACTGTATGTACAGTGGTGAGTATTACAGGCGATGGCATTTTAGCCATAATGTTGATTGTTTATCATTTCTGCTTGTCCTTGTTTTTCTTAAAAACAAAGCTGAAATCTGGGTTACAGCATCTAAACAGGATGTAAACAATGTACATGTTAAAAGTTTTAGTGTGGAAAAACACTTGCTAAACATTTCAGAGTGAAGTTATATCCAGTTTTACCACAGGCAGTGACAACATAGTGCCCAAATGATAACACCTTTACAGCTCAATAATACATATTTAAACAGAAGAATTGTTTTTAAACACACATTATTTCACTGTGAAAACACTACCTTTACTTGAAAATGGCTATAAAAATGAGAGCAACTTGTTTTACAATCTGTAAATGAAGAATGGGTATAGGTGGTTTAATCAACTGAACTTCACTTTTCTGCTTGTAAATCCTTCAAAAACCCTGTTTACTGGCTGAATGTAAATGTTGAGATCAGTCACAATTGTTTATTTTTTTTTGCCTTTTTTTAAGAGATCAGTCACTTTTTGTGTGTGTGTGGTAATCAACATTGTGACAAATTGTATTGAACCTAGGGGTGTGTGATATATTTCGTCTGCGATAATATCTTAATTGTTGTTTTAACGATAAACAAGAAGTTAATTAAGAGACTTATGTTTTAGACACCATATTGCCTGTTTTTGCTCTTTCACTAAAAAAAAAAAAAAATCCAAGGTAACAGCCACAGCACTGTTATCGTTATTGATAAAATCCCAGAAAATATTGAAATATCATTTTTGTCGATATCGCACACCCCTAATTGAACCTGGAATAGTTCTTAAAGTCTCAGATTTGTTTTAATACATTTTGTACACTACATAATTGAGTGTAAATGTATGTAAAGCACAAAATGCATCAGTCTACGTTTCACTCAGGAGATGTCACATAATTTTGTGTGTATGTTTGGATATGCTGGTGTCACTGAGAGTTCAACATTACATCAGAATGAACTCAAAATATTTAATCAATCAAAATATTTACATGTGACTGATTTATTTATCTGTGCACATTATTTCAAAGGGGGAAAACGAGTTTTTCTTCATTCAAAAGTTTTTTGTTTTTTTTGGGTTATGTCAATTAGGCGTGATCCACATACAAGTCTGGCTCCATTCTGCTATAATCATACACTTTTCATGATCTATTTAATACTGAACTCAAAATATTTAATCAATCAAAAATATTTACATGTGACTGATTTATTTATCTGCACATTATTTCAAAGGGGGAAAACGAGTTTTTCTTCATTCAAAAGTTTTTTGTTTTTTTTGGGTGATGTCAATTAGGCGTGATCCACATACAAGTCTGGCTCCATTCTGCTATAATCATACACTTTTCATGATCTATTTAATACTTGATGGATAAAATCATCCACTGAATTCCTGCTTCACTCAAACAGCCTGTTTCAGTCTGAAATACATCAGATTATCAAAGTTAAACCGATTGTGAGCTCTATTTCATGCTGCGTAATTAAGACCTGCACTGTACGTCATGTAAACAGACTGTCAGAATAATCTGTCAGGATTGTCAGTTTTATTGATAAGTTCATATACCTCAGCCTGCCAGCAAGGTTCATCAGACATGTCTGTTTCAGATTCAGTCCTTCATCTTTATTTGAATATGGCAACATGACACCTCCTTCTGCAATATTTCTATGATTAAATGACTGACAGAGACCCGTCCTCTCTCAGCCAATCGTAGCTAGTAAGCTTGCCAACATCAACCCTAGCAGCGAGCTCAACCCCACCCTTTTCTCCTTAGTAAAAGTAGTTGTGTGAACAGGTTTGAAGAGGAAACTCTTATGTGACCCCAGGACCTGATATTGGAGAAGGTGATCTCATGTCATTTTGATGAGTCTAATAACATTTCAGTTAATGATTTGTGAGCTGCTCTCACTGTATGTTACTGCATACTCCTCCTAGAATCTTTATCAGACCTGTGTGTGACTGACACCTCTGGTGTGCTCTCTTGTGTAGTGTGCGCTGTTGTCCGCTCCAGCCGTCTCTCACACAGAGGCTCTGGAGGCGGAGGTGGCTCGGCTGCAGGAGCGCTTCTCCAGTCTCGCGGGTCAGAGGCAGCAGCTGGAGCTGAACCTGAGCGCTCTGGCTCGGGCCGTGGAGAGCGTGGAGCAGCAGGCCTCCAGCGAGGTGACCTCCAGACTGGCCTCCATCCGTACGGACGTGCGGCGCATGGCTGGGCTGGAGGGTGAGGTGGAGCTGCTGCTCACCCAAACGCAGGCCCTGGAGGAGAAGGTGGCCCAGACGGAGAAGCTGATGGTCAGGCGCATCGGCGATCTGCTGGCTGGCAGCATCGACCGCGTCTCCGCTCTGAGGAGCTCAGCAGAGAAGAGCAGCCAGCGGCTGGATCAGATCAGTGTGCTTGTTCACCAGCTCTCCGCGGCTCACCGTGAACTGTCCGAGCGCATCCTGGCACTGGAGAGTGGACAGGCCAAGCTGCTGAAGACCGCCAGCTTCGCCAGCGACCTCAAGCCCAAGGTCTTCTCCATCAGGCAGGACTTCGCCATCATCCAGCCCAAACTGGACGACCTGACGCTGAGGATCGGCCTGCTGGCTGAAGACCTGATGAGTCGAGAGGAGCAGCGGAGTCAGAGAGAGGCGACGACATGCGACACGTTCAACCAGCTGACGCCCTGAAAGAGGAGGACGCTCAGTACATCAAGTACAGTCCAGTCGTGCTTTGAACTGGAAAATAGTGCTGGAGCACACTGACGTTTAGTCACAGAGCAACTGTAAGCATTCAAGAGCTCCTAGTGAAATCTGCTGACTGCAGCAACACTGAAATGAACATCACCATGAGATCTGCCATGACACTGACTGCTAGACTCATATGTGACCCTGCAGCACAAAAGCAGTCTTAAGTCGCTGGGGTATATTTGTAGCAATAGCCAACAATACATTGTATGGGTCAAAATTATACATTTTTCTTAGAGGAAAAAAAATCATTAGGATATTAAGTAAAGATCATGTTCCATGAAGATATTTTGTAAATTTCTTACCGTAAATATATCAAAACTTAATTTTTGATTAGTAATATGCATTGCTAAGAACTTCATTTGGACAACTTTAAAGATGATTTTTTCAATATTTAGATTTTTTTTGCACCCTCAGATTCCAGCTTTTCAGATTTCCCAAATATTGTCCAATCCTAACAAACCATACATCAATGGAAAGCTTATTTATTCAGCTTTCAGATGATGCACAAATCTCAATTTCACAAAACTGACACTTATGACTGGTTTTGTGCTCCAGGGTCACATTTATGGTGGTGTTGACGTGGTTCTGCAAGGTACATCAAAGAATAACCATCTACAAAGCATGGTACACTATACCAGTCAAACGTTTGATGCTAAGAGTTCAGCTTTGAAATCACAGGAATAAATTACATTTTAAAATATATTCGAATAGAAATCAGTTTTTAAATAGTAATACATTTTAAATAATACAAATATTAAAAAATTTACTGTATTTTGGATCAAATAAATGCAGACTTGGTGAGCAGAAGAGAATTCTTTAAAAAAAAATTTTTTTAAATGTTACGGTTCAAAAATGTTTGACTGGTAGTTAACCTCTTTGTAAGTGTGATGCTGACTTTAAGAGCCACATCTGACCAGGTTGAGTCTCAAGCTCAAGCCAGATCCTGTATTCCAGCGATATTGACTAGTGAATTCACGTAATGAGACGTTTAAGAAGAGGACGTTGAGGGTTCTGTGGAGGAGTGCTGAACAAACCTGTAACGGCTTAATCTTCAACACACAGTGACCCCAAAAATCACCCATCAAAACCAGTGTCCTCTGTGCTCAGATGATGACCTGAGCTTTAAGCAGCTGGTGTCTCGGAGATCTTTCATGATGAAGTCTGTTCTCCTCACGTTCACGTCCTGCAGAAAAACCACCAGTGCAGTTCATTACATTCACATCTGAACATGTTCAATCAGGTTTGACGAGCAGAAAGTGTCCAAGACTTACATTTACACTGTCATTTAGCTGATGCTTTTATCCAAAGCGACTTACAAATCAACATAAGAGCAATGATACGCAAGTGCTATAAGAAGTCTCAGTTAGCTTAATGCAGTACTACAGGTAGCAACGTTTAAAAAAAATAAAGACTTCTGTCTTTATTCTGAATATATCGATGGCTTCATATTCTAAAACCTAAAAAACTTTGAACATTTAAAATGTTTTTGTGAAAAATGTGATTGCTGTTTTTCTTTGAAATAAATGTTGATATTTTTAATGTAAAGACCATTTGAATTATTTCCAAATACAGTAGTCAACATTTGAAGTGGATCAAAAAGGTTCATCAAAGTTGTCCTAAGACAAGAACACATTTTGGTTTTAGGACAAATTTAAATGCTGACTGCTATAGTTTCTGTGGCTGCTGTGTGTTTGGAGTCTGCTAACAGAAATATCAGTTTTATACGGTCAGTTACAGACAGTTACGCAGTATTACAGTAGTTCTCTCTCATTTCTACAGTATGCACAAATAGTCAGTGACAAAACAGTTCACTGCCATTATATGATCGACTCTATTTTACGGCATTGATTTCTATAGTAAGCAGTCACTGGCAGTCATGAAACTCTGACAGTGATTCGGTCCATGTTTGCATCCAAATCATCCTCAACTGCTTCTGAGAGAATCTCTGCTGTGTGACATTTTAGAAAAACGGTGAATTAAAATCATATATTTAGATTTGAGTTTTTTCCATTGATTTGAATGCTTTTGTCATGTTTTAAATTATTTTAAGTCATCTTGAGACACTCTTGGATGTTTGCTGATGAACAAAATTATATAGAAAATGTAATTATAAATGTAATTAAAATGCATAAATGTGAGATAAATGTGCATAATGCATAAATGCTCAGATTCTCAGTAGTTCACTTTGAGGTATGAAACAGTATGTTTTTACTGTAGATTTATGTGTAAATATCAAGGCAATTTCGATTTTCCATTTTATGACAGCTCTTTAAAATGCAGAAATGTTCAAAATTTGTGAAATGTTCTAATCATGTTATATTAATATTCATTTGTTTTTGTGTTATTTTAGGTATTTTATTGGTCATTTGACACAATGGTTTGAAACATTGTATTGGAAAACAACTATAATCTTGATGCGTTCAGGGATTGTATTTTGGTTATGATGATGACCAGTAACTCTACTGAGCAAGATCTGATTAATTTACACTGCTTTTCCAGGTCTACAAATCATACTTGTGCAATTAAGTTTGGTCATGTATCCAGCTTTTTCAAGACTGTGTGAATCTTGGTTCTTCAGTGACAAAAGGGTGTATTAAAATCATAAAATGTCTTGATTTCAGTTGTTTTAGTTTATTTTTAGCTGACCAATGCTTGTTTTGTCTTATTTTAAGTCATCTTGAGGTCCTCTAGTAGACCTTGGCTGATTAACCAGTTAAACAAACATAATTATATGGAAAATATGTGTTAAATGTTCTCATTTTATGCATTTCTAGGTATCTTATAGACCATTAGATTAGATAAAGACATGCTAGTGTGGAAGGGTTTTAATAATTTTATTGGAAAACCGCTACAATGGTGATTAGTTCAGAGCGAGAATGACCGATAGCCCTGGAAAACCTCTGAGCAGCTATGAACTACAGTGCAGTTGTGTCTCGGCTGAAGAGACCGCAGTTCACCCATTCATCGCTCTGATAGAGAGCTTTCACGATTCCACCGCCCACAGCACCCATCATCCTGAACGACCGCTTCTGCCTCCAGCAGCTCATCTCGGGCTCGCTAAGTAACGTTTTTAAATGCATCGACTGCTTCTTTCTCTTGACCAGCGTCCAGTTCAGATACTTGGGTCTGCAGCTCCTCCAGGCGGCTCCTCAAGCCGTCCAGTCCGTCTCTCAGCACCTGGCTCTCTGTCTCGGCGGTCGTCTTGTAATCACCCAGCGAGCGCTGCTGGGATTCGTGCTTGGCCGCGAGAGCGTTCAGTCTGTTGGTCTGCTCCGTCAACGAGGACTCCATGCCCTCCTGGCTCTCCTCCACACTCTTCAGCCGGACCTCCACGTCCTCTCTGTGCTTCTCCAGCTGGAGCAGCTGGTCTCTGGAGTGCGTCTCCAGGCTCTGGAGGGCGGTGCTGGTGTGCTCCAGCCGGTCGCTGAGGCTCTGGATCTGGTCCGAGGCGCCCTGAGCGTCGGCTCGAGCTGCGGACACCTCGTCCCTCAGGCTCCCTGCGGCGCTCTGCAGCAGCGTCCTCACGGCCTCCACGTCCTCGGACACAGACGCCACCTCCCTGTTCCTAGTCTGCTGCTCGGCGCTCACCGCTGCAATCTGCTCGCGCAGCACAGCCGTGTTCCCCTCGGACACCTCGCTGGCGGTGTGGAGCGTGGCTACGGCGCTGCTGAGGGACTCCAGCTCCTGCCTGAGGAGCGCCGGAGTGTCCTGCTGCTCCAGACGAGCCCTGAGCTCCTGCAGCTCGCTCTGGAACCGGCTCTGCTGGACGGAGGACTCGGCTGTGGAGCGGCTCAGTTGGGACAGGCGCTCCTCCAGGGACGAGGCGTGCTTCTCCCGCACCTCCTTCACCTCCCGGATGGCCTGCGTCAGCTCCTGGGCGATCTTGCTCTGGAGGTTCTGGAGCGAGTCCTCCAGCCGCCGGGTGTTGTCCTCTCCTTTCTGTGCGGCTCGGCCGGTGCGCTCCAGATCAGTCCTGACGCTGAGCACCGCGCTCTCCAGAGCCTCCAGAGACACCTGCATAGACCTGATCTGGAGACACAGATGGACAGAGACACTCAATTCAGAGCACTATTTTGCTCAGATCCGATTTTTTTATATAGCTGTTCACATTTTGTTGTTTTACATGTGGCCAATATCAGATTTCCAGTGTGAACAGATCATGGTTCTGAACTGACCCGTATGTGCAAAAGACGATGCGAACAGGGTTGCCAGGTTTTCACAACAAAATCCACCCAATTGCTGTCCAAAACTAGCCCAATCATGTTCCCGGGGGTAAATATTGTGTTAGAGGAGTCGCTTCAACACACAAAGCTGAAAAACAACCCACGGCAACAGTAGCCCAGTTATGCGGGGAAACTGATGGATTTGGCAACCCTTGTCAACGCTGTCATACGGAAGTAAACAGGGAGGACATAAATTAATCGATTATGTGTTTATTTATAGTGTGATCTGCTGCAGAAGCCAATATGTACAGCGTGGAATTATGACTAATGTCAATCTAGAGTGACGTAAAAGTTGCATGATTTCCGATTAGGGTTGCAAAGGGGTGGAAAAGCTCCGGAAACTTTCCAGAAATCCCTATAATATGCCCAAAAAAATCCTGGAAAGTTTCCAAAATTTCTGGAATGTTTCCGAAATTTACTGGAAACTTTCCACCTCTTTGCAACCCTAATTCCGATATGACCATTAAGACTGCAGTTCCATTGCAAAACATTGCAAAAAGCACATGGAATCTGATCTTTTCCATTTAGATTTGTGCCACTTCCACATGTGGTGCTAAATCCGATACAGGTCAGATGTTTCGCAATGCGACCGCAGTGTGAACTGTCATGTCCGAACACACCCAAAGTTATCAAGACAGTTGCGAAAGGTAATCAGTGGAGCTGTGATGTGTCAGAACTCATAAGTATTACAGTGACAACTCTATATACAAGCAAAACATGAAGACTCGTATCATGCTCTCTTTCGTCACATCCTTGTCTTTATTTTTCATATTGCCTGCGTAGAATTTCTCTGGCTTCTGCGGCAAAACACTATAAATAAACACATAATTGCTTACTTTATGTCCTCCGTGTTTAGTCTAGTATGACAGTGCGCTCCGCAAGTGTTGCCAAGTCTGCAGTTTTCCCTCGGAATCAGGCTACATTTTCACTGTTGCCGCGGGTTGTTTTTCAACTTCATGACCCCACTAACACAATATTTACCCCCCCAGAACATGATTGGGCTAGTTTTGGACTAGTTTCAAGAAGCAATTGGGTGGATTTTGTTGTGAAAACTTGGCAACCCTGTTCATATCGTTCTTTTGCGCTTGCGGGGTCAAGTTAAGAACCATGATCTGTTCACACTTTTGACAGCAAACCTAAAGATACTTCATCTAAAGGCATAGTCGTTCATGTCATTCAACCCGACCAATCAGGTTGTGAACATATTTTGTGATGGAACTTACCCCAAACAATAGGTGTGTTCGACTTAAAGCGTTGCTGCGCAGACCAGAGTATTTGGTCCGTGTTGCGTCCATATTTAATTCGAACCACACCAGAGTTGGTTTGCAGGCGGACCGAGACCCATCTTAAGTGGTCTCGGTCCGCTTGTTTGGTGTGCACCATGGTTCGGATGCCACTTACTCAAACGAACCGCACTAACGGAGCAATCGCACCAGAGTTAATTTTAATCGAACCAAACATGCCAAGTGTGAACGCACCCTTAGGTCTTCAGAAGATCACCTCAGAAAGGTGTTTCTTCCTGTTTTGAAGCATGTTTTGCATACTAAGGGAGCGTTGAGCTCCTAGTCAAATATATGATAGGTCATTATTCAGTGACATTCTGAAGCTCTCCAGGAAATAAAGACTAAGATGGGCTCTATATCAGAGCGAGTTTTTGTAATTTAATAGAAAAATGCATTATTAGCACAAACCTTCTTCTAAACATCTCCTTCAGTACTGCACTCACAAGAGATACGGGTTTGGAATGAGCTTAAGTTGAATAAATAATGACAGAATTTAGTAAAAACAAACTTCATTCCTTTGTTTCGTTTGCCCTGTGAAAACCAAGTGTATAAAGTGTACTTATTACACAGATATATACTTTAAAAGAATCCACTTTAGTGTGAATTTAATGTAATGTTTTCAAAAACGTAATTGTATATAATTTGTAATTAATTTCAAATGTATTATAATTCAAACGTATATTAAAAATGCATTTAATGCATTATTTTTTTTTTTTTTATTTCAAATGCATTTCAAGAACCATTAAAAAGTGTATTTTAAATAAACACTATACTGTATTATAATAAGTAGTCTGATAATAAAGAAACATTTGAACTGATTTTAAATGCATATTAATTTGTTTTAATGATTTTTAATGGGCCTTAATTTAGAATTAACTTTAAAACATTAATTCTGTGTTCAATTTAAATTGCCAGTGTACTTTACAACACTATAAAGAGGCTTTTTGGCCTAATTTACT